GTAATTCTCCTGCATGTTAAAATCGAGCAATGAACATAGATTACAGAATTGGTAATCTGTTTGTATTTATAAGTAGATACAAAATCAAAATCCATACTAACAAGTCAGTTAAATTTGTCAAAAGAGAAATGCCACGAGGAATTGGCCCCGTCAAACCACTAGCCTGAATCAATCTGTTTAACAAGTCATAAAATTTGAATCAGTGATAATATTCAGAATCAAGTAGCAGCAAAGATAATCAAAAAAACAAACTCACAGTTTCTCAAGATTTGTCCAGTTCTTTATAAAATCAGGTATCTGCCCAGAAAAGTGACTGTCACCCACCCGGCTGCATAATGATTGGCAAAAGGAAAACAGTACCAATTAATACTATAATGCGGTATTTGGGTGCTTTTAGGAAACCTTTAAGAAAAAAGAACAACAGAAGCGTACAAGTCTTTTAGTGTGGTAAGATTTCCAAATGTATCTGGCAACTCCCCAGTAAAATTATTTGAGTTAAGAAGCCTAACCATGAAAGAGACATAACAATTATATTAAAGATACAGAAGTCGATGATTGCTGGTGAAAATATCCAGCATCTGTCTATCAGGATAAAATTTGAAATAGGACAATCTTACATGCTTTCTATGAGGGTCAAATTCCCAAGCTCCCGAGGGAGCTCTCCAGAGAAAATATTCATACTGATGTCCCTACACAAAGAAAATTCAATTCCATTGATTAAAAAAGATCATTCCAAAAAATAAGTGGGGAAAAGAAGAAACAAATGCGTAATCAACACTCACAAACGCTTCAGGGTGGTGATGTCTCCAATCTCTTTGGGGATAGGACCGGTCAAACGGTTTCCAAGAAGGGAACTGCAACAAAACTCACGTGTTTGGCCATCAAGATGAATGCAACAAATATTCAACATTTATGATTCAAATGGCTCATGGCCACTCAAAGGCAATGAATATGAACAAAATCCATGTAGTAGATTTGTAGTTTAAGAAAGAAATGGCTAAAGAATATTGAAGTCGCCACTAAAACAATAAGAACATGTCATGAACATCAACACACACACGCATGTATGCATAGCGAAAAAAGACCGCACATGTTGACAAGTGGAAGGGAGCCCCATTCTGGAGGGATGGTACCACTCAGGTAGTTGCGGGTGAGGTCACTGCAGGAGAAAAAGAAATGAGTCTTTTTCTCATTGACAACAGACATACATGCAAGGTAACAACGTGCTTACATATTTTCGAGATGGGTAAGCCTGGCCATCTCTTTTGGGAGTGTTCCTGGCAAATCCTGAGCTTTCATAACTCTGTGCTTCATCACAAAACAAGGTTTCAAATCTTAATTGCAATTTAACAAAGACCTGACTGTGACTAAAACGAAATGCTTCCACACAGATGAGACCAAAACAGTAAATTATTTAGAGGTAAAAGACTGGACTTCAACTCAGGCAATGTCCTTAAAAAGATATAACTTGCAATTTTTTGGTCACGAAGAATAAAACTTGCAATTACACAAACAGTTAATGTGCATTTGTTCTGTAGTTATAATAAGCAAGCCAACCACCAACTCACCATAGAACTGAACATCAATGCTAACTAAGAGCCAGCTCAAAGCACATTGTAGTAAGTGAGCAAATTGATCACTCACAGCCCATAAAACTCAATTTTGCAGTTAAAACTTAAACTTAGTTGATTGTAAAATTCTTACTTTAGTGTTCACTCAATATAAGAAACAGATTTATAATAAAATCAGTTTTGCTCTGCACACTGCACAGCAAGTATGTCTGCAGAAATTCCTTTTTGCATTTTCTTGAATTTCATCAAACAGAATTAAAATGTGAAAGAAAACCATTCAAGGCACCAAGGGTACTTCCACTCATAACCCATGATCCATGGCCCCATGACACCATGACCCATCGACGGAAAGGCTAAAATGAGGAGGTTGAGTGAGGAGCTTATTTGAGGAGGTGAAATCTCACCATCAACAACCAAAAACAAAGTACATGGGGGGGGTGCATTAGGGGGTCCACACCCCTTTTGATGGTGAGATGGGCCTCCTCAAATAAGCTCCTCACTCTACCTCCTCATTATAGAAGCTCCCCAAGTTCGAACCTTCATAAGCATTACACATTGATAATGTGTGCGTGAGAAATCCCACAAAAACTGAACATGGCAACAGCCAACTCAGCTCCAAGTTGGGCCGACAGTCCCTTTTTTGGGATTTTGGTTTTTTGTCGAAAAGCCCACAGTTCCTTTTAATTCCCAGTTATTTTGGAGGTGGCATGATGATATTTTAAGTCAATTGGGGGGCCAATGTGAAAATGATCAATAATTAATTGATATAGACGTGCAGTCCCCAGAAAACCAAATGTCCAAATCAGCATCTCTCTCTCTCTCTCTCTCTCTCCAAACTTTCAGCTGAGCTAATGGTCATGGGTCAATCAATCAAGGAAGGTTCATGCCCTGATTCTTCTTTCATTTTCAGTTTCAGACAGAATTCTGAGATGACACTGACTAGTCTAATACTCCTAAGAGTATCGACATCAAAATTAACTTAAGCATGTGTAAATAACCTATCCCCTAACACTACTCATGTCACTTAATTTAAGAGGAGCTTTTAAGTGCGGCTACCGTATACAATAGTATACTCTCATAGGGATAGAATTAGTGTGGAGTTAGGTGGAACTGAGGACTAAAATATCGATATTATCGTTTTTTCAAATCTAGGATATTTTGGAACATATCCATACACATATCGTATAATTAATATTGGAAAATATCGACATCGATAATTTCTCACACGCTTCAACAACATTTGGCCACAATATCGCGATGATATCGCAATAATATCAATCATATCGATCATATCAAGATGATGAATGCAGTGAAAAATTTGAACCTCATAGAAACTTTATGTGGTACTAAGTCACTCGCGTATCTTACCATGCAATGTATAAAGTGTAAAATATTGTAGTAAATCATTATAAATAAATGATTATGGTGTGTTTAATATTCTTTCATTAATTACTACAAATTTTCTACACTCCTAGTGCTTGTCAGCTCGCTATATAATCAACTTAAATCAGTTAAACCCATCATGCAATGCATTTCCTTCCAATTTTTTGTGAGAAACTAATACATAATTGACTAAATAAACATCCTCCAAAGTTTCAATAAAAATTTCAAAGTTTTTCTTATAATTTCCATGGTTTTTATTCAATTTTTACCGATATTGACAATTTCCCGATATTTCCATAGAAATTGCCATGTTTTCGAACCACCGATATTTCCGAAACCATCGATATTTTAGACCTTGGGTGGAACTAAAATCGGAGGATATCCTTACTTTTGTGAGGGTTGACGAACAATCCTTACTTTTGTGAGGATTTGAATATGGCAGGCTGACATAAGAATTTCTCCTAATTTAAAACTTGCAAAACATTAGAGGCTCTCCTACCTTAGAAAGTTAGAAAATCTGTTAGAACCAAAAGAAAAAGTTGGATTCCATGTATATAACACAAAAGTTGAAGGACTTTAAAATTTGAGACTTCAGATAAGTAAATGCTGGGACTATCTTCTTCACCGACAACATGAGAAAGGCTCATTTAAAGTCATCAAAATTAGGCCACCGTGAGTATACTAGTATTATACAAATAGCAATTTTCTTGGTATATATATAATGGGATAATTCTGAAAGGAAAAAAAAAAATATATATATATATATAATATACATAATACATATATATCGCCAATGATCTAATATTCCCCAAAAAAGTTTTGTTTAGGGGTAACACCATAAATGCATTCCATGTAAACCACATAAACCCCATAAGATCATTTGGTGTTAGGTGGTGTTAGGAGAGAGAGAGAGC